GGAGGTCGGTGAAGGGAGGATAGATGGGGGAAAGCAGATGTGTGGACTGTAGCAAAGCATGGACAGGACAAAAGAATGTGTGGAACTGAAAGAGGGACATTACATAGGGGATTGGGAATTAGTATAGGATGGATGTGTAAGAAAAGTCTCTTGGAGGCATATAATGGATGAGTTACAGGAAGAAAAAGATATAACGAAGGTCAGGTCTGTGAGAATGGATACTGCAAATATTCCAATGTAGGAGAGCTATTACTTAGTTGATCTACAACTGATAATGGTTACAGTGCATTTTGGAGAATTTGAAGGGAAAGGGGTGAGATAAGGAATTGAATTGGAGGAGGGGGGTAGTACCAGGAGGTGGAGGATCTGGGGAAGGGCAAAGTTGTGACATAAGGGATTCATGTGTGTATCTAGAGGGAGTGGAAGGGATAGAGGGGATGGAGGAGGGTTAATGTATGTGTAGTTGGCTCTGAGGGAGATGGGCTATGTTGGGAGGCAGTAGGAGGAAGGGGGTAGGGGGAATATGAGTAAGAAGAGGATGGATATCGGCAGTCACTTTGAGTGTGGAGAAAGCAGGAGTTGTTGAATTTGAGGGTGGGCACAATGGTTTTGGTGTCATTTTGGGATTCCATCAGATAATTTTGAATATCTTCAAGAGTTTTGCTGTGGAGTTGATGGAGTTTTGCGAGACAAAGGTTTTCTTATGAGGGGGAGGGGTAGTAAAGCAAAGGTAAAAGAGGAGGAAGAGGGAGTGTTGTTGAGAGAGGTAGTATTACTGAAGTGCACAATAAGGCTGTAAAGTCAACACTAGACTATGTCATATCTAAACTAAAAGATTAAATATTGGTTTTGAATTAATTACCTTGGTCAAAGCACAGTCAGCTGCATGTCAAAATCATTTCCTTCACTTCTTCCTTTTTGAGTTCTAGTGTTATCTATTTATATCATTACATATTATTAGTTAATTTACAACAATAACAGCAATGAATTTTGTGTGCAATTACAGGTAATCATTTGTCCTACAACACAAGTATCTAAAAATGTGAATATCTTGTTATAATTAGTGCATTAAATCTACACTCTAAACTGGGTGCAATGGACTCTTTCAAACATAAAAATAGTATAAAGATATTTCAGAACAAAAGAAACAAATCCTGACTGCAATCATTTCATCATAGAATCTGTGTGATTAGAGTCAAAACTGGAAAAAATAAATTTCAATTCTCTCTTAAGTGATTTTTTCTAGTGAGTACTGTGACCACAGCTATCATTATATCTCTTTACTCTGTACCTTTAATTTAATGTAGTGCCAATTATGGCATTTAAGACAAGTGACTCAAGAATTCATTGTCTACAAAATTTTTATCGTATCAATCTGGGAGGAGGATTCTGCACTGAAGCATAAAACATATAAGAGTAAATTTCCAATTTCATCCAGCCTCCAACTTTCGAAACAATTGTTTTTAGGAATGGATAATTCCTTTGCTGTTTAATGCTGTAATACTGCTGTTCTCCTTTGCATCTGACTACTTGACCAGTGACGTAACTTGTACTTCCCGACGTCATAGTCATAGGTTTCGCACTGTATTTTGGGAAGAATTTGCATGATTTACATGCAGAAAAACAAAACAAAACCATTAAAAAACTTTAAATCATGTTTGTTGAACTCTATGGGAACGGGAGCCATGTTTCACCTAGACAATTACAGACTGCAATTGTACGGTTAACTCTAGGTTTACCTTTTGTCTGTTTCCACACAATACAAAAACATTAAATCATGATTAAACAAAAATAACTTTTAAATATGAAAAATGTGTGTCCAATAACTTCGTTATTTTTGAGTTGTGGTTAAAGTCTACATAAGACAAGTTTCTTAGAATCACTCACTTATTGTCTGCACACATTTTAGGTCTAAATGGCAGCTGTATGGAACTTGACCTTTACCCATATAAGACATACCAAAACTGTCAGAGAGACTACTTCTACCTTACCCATATACATGAGGTGCTTAGAGCACCATCGATGAACTCACCACATTAACTAAAACTGACCTATCAGTAAGAATATAATGGGCTACTCTCCACAAACAGTTTACATATATTATAGAACTGGAAATGAGACCCTAAAAGCCCTAAACAGAAGACTGAATGTGGTGTACTTTCCCTATGCACACACACTCATATCTCGGACATGAGAAGATAACATGATATAAAAGATCTTCTGCAGTGTATTAATCCTTAGTAACTTTCCTTACTTTACTCCGTTCATATGTATCATCCTCACTTTTGCTTTGCACAAGAAGAACTATAAGTGAAAAGTACCCGCGGATTTCATCTAGGTAACCATTCTTTGCTGTAAAATCCTGATTGTCATCCACAGTAAATATATTGAAATAATCACATAATCAAACCTTAACCTACAATTTATTCAAAACATTAATTTTAGTGAGTTTGCTCTTTGGGCTCTGGATGCCTTTTATGTGTTATTTGCTAGCCTTTGT